GCTACTCATTTTCTTCATATCAAATGTCCTAAGTACTCAACTTGTTGCTGTCCAAAGAAGAACTTTTTTTAGCATATATCTTGCTCTTAAACAAAATTTCTAGTACAATCTTTAAATATTGTTCATATGCAGCCAAGCTAGGACTATAGACTAGCATTTCATAAAAAAAACCAGTACAAACATCCTCAAAAATTTTCTAAACACCTCATTCATCAAAGATTGAAATGTGGCAGGGGCATTAGTAAGCCCAAATGCATTACTTAAAATTCATAATGCCCTTGATGAATCCTAAAAATAGTTTTAGGAATGTCTTCACTCTTTATTATGATCTATCAATATCTAAACCATAGGCCAATTTTTTAAAAAAATTACTAAGTTTCTTTCAACTCATCCAACAAGTCTTCTACTATAAGAATAAGGAATTTTTTCTTGACTGTTGTCTATAATGAACACCAAACCTCCAAGATCCATCCTCATTCTTAACCAACAAACAAAGAGAAGCAAATGGACTCTGACTCACTTGAATAATGAAGGATGCCAACATCTCATCAAATTGTTTCTCTACTTTTGCTTTGTGGTGATGTGAAAACCTGTAAGGTCTAAAGGTTTACATGTGGAGAATTACGTTTTAGCACGATTGCACGATCCTACCTTCTTGGAGGTGTATTCCTTTAAGTTCTTTAAAAGCTTCTTTAAATTATTTTAGCAGGGGTTGAAGCTATTTAGGAACTATACTATATGTTACTTTTATAGTCAACTAATAAATTTCCCCTTCATTTCACTGTTATTTTCTGCTAACTTCTAATTTTTTTCACTTGATATAGGCTTAAATACTTACTTATGGGTTCCCTTGATAATAACTCTTTTACCTTCCTTATCAAAGCTTAATGTTCTAGTTTTGAAGTCCGTTAAGATGGGACTGAATTCTTCCATTCAATCCACCCCAAACACCATGTCATTTCCCCTAAAGACAACAACCTGAAGTATTGCTAAAATTCATACCCCTTGCATTTTATAGCACACCTTGTTTCTTCCATTAGTGTTGTATAATTTCTCCCCATTAGCTACTGTGATCACTAGAGGTTGTGTATGCACCAATTCTACTCATTTCTTGGCCCATTTAGGAGTTACAAATCTATGAGTGCTTCTGTTGTTTATGAGTATATGGAGTGGTTATTCCCGAATGAATCCATGTATCCTTGAGGTGTTATATTCCACATATCCAATGATGGCATTAATGGAAATTTTGAGAGCCTCCTTTTCCTCTTCTACATTATTCATTCCTCATTATATTCATTCTCACCTAATTCATCCTCCTCTTCCATGCAATCCAATTACTTTCCCTTGCATTGATGCCCATGTGTAATTTTTTCCCACACTTGAAACACAAATTATGAGCTCTCTTGTACTTCAATAAGCTCTATTTAACATTATGGTTGAGAGGAACTAGCTTGTTGATTAGAGCAACACTCACATTCTTAACCATATTATTTTGAGGTGAGTCTGGAAAATTCCTATTAAGAGGTTTATACTTCTTATTTTCAAATCTCATTTGCCAACTTATACACTCTAGCTTGCTTGTATGCTTTAGAAAGTGTTTTCGATTCCAACACTATCACCTTGTGTTTTAGCTCCTCTTTAAGTCCACTGATGAAACTGGATATAAAGTAATCCTCTCACAAATACATGTTATGTGGTAGCAAAAAAGGTCTTACTTCTTCTACATCCACTTGTTAAATTCCTCAATAATATCTGAGTAGTTCTTATCACATAAACTATGGAACAAATCTGGCTCAAAATCACGTCAGGTTACCTTAGATTTTTGAATGATGTATCCATCGAACCAAGTCTCAGTCTTTCCTGCCAAGTACATGGCAGCTATCTCTATTTTCTGTTTTTCAGGAATTCCTAGTAATTTGAAATATTTTTGACACTTTCTAATCTAGCCCCTCAATTACTCCCTTCAAACACTTGTAGTTCAACCTTTGGTCAGGTATAACAACCCCTGTGTTACCATAAGGAATGCTAGACACATTCATATTATCAATATTTCCTTCATTCCTAGTTTTTACTTCACTGGAACTACCTATATTATTGCCCAACTATATCTTCTGATTAGTAAGTAAATGACTTTGAAAAGCCACATGTTTAGATGCTAGAATGAATAGTTCATAGGGTTGATAAGAATACCTCTCTTTTTCTCCTATTATAGTAACTTGAATAGGTTTTTTACCATTTCTTTTGGAGGTCTCAAGTTTGTTTACCTGGTTGGGGTCATTTTTTTCCATTTCCACTACTTGTATCTTCCTCAGAGGTTTCATCATATTCCTTGCTTTTCAAGATCTTTAAAATACTAGTTAGATAGCCCTTTTGTTCTGCAAATCCCGACTCAAGCTAACCAACATTTTTTCCTTTTGTTCCCACATTTAGGTAACTGAGAATCATTTTTGAAGCTCTCAAATTGCTTTTGGATATCATTGACTTGTTGTTGGATGGTAGCTAAGGTTACCTCCTCTCACATGGGTTGCATCTTCTTTTGTTTACCCAGTTTTTTATACATGAACTAGGCTCTACTTTGATTATCAATTGTCACGTGTTGAAGTGAAATTGTGAATGAGAATGATGAGAATTAGGATTTTAAAAGAAGAAGAAGAAGATTGAGAAAAAGAATTTCATTTCATGAAGCATAATTCATTAGATTGTGATAGAAAATTATATATTCACAAGTTCCCTAACAATTGTAAAATCGTACTGCAATTTAACAACTTTAACAGTTGATTTGCTTACTCATGCAGGTCCTCTCCATCTGGATTGTCTCCCCTTGAGGCTCAATGTTCTTCAATTCTGATGCAACCTTGTTTGATAAGATGCCTTGCTCCTGGGCCTTCAATTGGCTGACCCAATCATACCCATAATCTTCACATGCTCCCTCTAGCCCAGCCGAAGTTAATCCTTCTGGCCTCTCCATCTTCATTTTGTGTTTCTGTGACATTTCCATCCATAATTCCTTTTCAATCCCTAATTGATGCTCAAATCCTTTTCAATCCTTATTTATTGTCGATTCTTCCCTAAATTGTCTTCCTAAAACACTAATTTAGCCTTCATCATTACATAAACATTGTAATTAATAAGTATCATTTATCTTGAATTAATAACTTATTTGATAAGTAATTAGTGTTTAAGAGTTTAGTTTTCTAAAATAGATATTTGATCAAGATATTGTAGAGTATTTATTTAGATATCATCGATTGAAAGTCATTGAAGATGTGGAAAATTTGATTTTGACTCAACTTTCACTTTCTAAAATATAATAATCTTATTGTAAAATTACTTATAATATAGTGACATGTGGTGTAATTTACCAAGAAAGTAATAGTAATCAATCGTCAACATCATATAAAATTGCAAAAGATATAGGCCGTTTAGTGTCAAGGGAACATGGCATTGACCATTTAAAATTAATGAGGTCACTCTTCTGCACTTGTGGTTCACACTCCACCTCTTTCCTTCCTTCTTTTTTTCCTCTTTATATATTTATGTATATTTGTGATCACAAGCAAAGCACGTGAAAACTAGGACCCTAATGATACTATATATATATATATAACATGAGTTATTCTAGATAAATTCGATTAAAATTCAGTTAAAATTTCAAATTGAATAAACTTGATTTGTGCTCGACCTCGATTTTAACTCGAATTCTTAATGAGTTGAATCGAGATACTTAATATCCGACTCAAAAAATCCGCAAATAACTCGAAAAAAATATATATTGAAATTTTAGATTTTTTAAATTAAATTAATAAAAATGTTAAATTTTATATATTGCTGTTTTTTAAAATATGCAATATAACACTTTCATGTAATTAATATTTAGGTTCGAGCTCGAGTCTGAGCTTCAATCGAGCTAAGTATGAGAATATATCAAGTTCAAGTTTTTTTGAGCTCGAGTTCCAATTTTTAATTTCAAGCTGAGTTAGAAAATTTTAAGTTCGCGAGTTTTTGAGTCGAGTGGAGCTTCAATTTTTTATTTCGATCTCAATTCAATTCGAGTTTTAATTTTTTATTCTGAGTTTAAGTCGAACTTGATAATTTTAAACTTATGAGTTTTTTAATTGAATTAGACTTGATTTAATAGTTTTCAAGTTGAGTCGAATTCAGTAAAATTCACGCTCGACTTAACTCATTTATAATACTAATGAAAACCAATATTATTAATACTATTTATTTTTTCTGTCAAATTTCTTTGAAGGTATAATTGTAATCTACACATAAATTTATCTGCAAATAAAATCAAACCCCAATATGATAAATGAGTAAAATTATATTAAATATATTTATATAATTACAAAACAAATCAATCATAACCTAAAATTATTTCTCTAGAATTCTAGATGCCCTAAAGATATTAAAATTTTTCAAAGTTTCATAACTTCCAGTTCTTAAAATTTTATGGAGTTTTATAGTTTATGATCAGTTATAATTTTTTGATATGATTATAGATAGATCATATGATATGTTAGAGTCATATATATTATCTGATAATGAGATCTATTTAGAGTGTCAACTTACAAATAACCATCACAATTTTAGATCTGACACTAACATTAAAGGTTGATATTTAAGTAATCTTACAAGGCTAAAGGAAGGGATCTCTCTGGTCTATTTGTAGACAGTGGTTTTCGTCCCTGTTATTATTATTATTATTATTATTATTATTATTATTATTATTATTATTATTATTATTATTAAATAATTAAAATTTACATTATAGGCCAAAATTACAAAACCCGATTGGGTCCAAATTGCAATCCAACCTGGTACCCAAAGCCCAAGCTCGAAGCCCATCAGCCAAGCCCATCAGCCAAGCCCACAAGTGAAGACCCAAGTAGCTAGGGTTTATGAACCCATCTCAGCCGACTCCATCTTCAACCGTTGGATCTGATCTAGATCAAACGGTATAAAATGGATCATAATTAGGGTTTTACCTTAAGGAGTTATCAGTCGTCATCGTCGATGGAATCAGAACCGTCCGATGCCGTGACTGAGGAGCATGCGCCCCTAAGACGGCCACCACCATAGCCCGATGACTCAGAGGGCTTCTCCTCTCCGACCGGTCCAAAGTGAGAGCCACGGGTCCTATAAAAGAGCCCACCTGCAAGAGAGAAAGGAGACCAACAAGAAAGGGAAGAAAACCAACAACAACCAACAACAACCAACAACCAAGAAAAAAACAGGAAATCTTTTCGAAAAGAAAATAGGAAAATAAAAAAAGAGGGAGAAGAGAAGAAACTTACCACCCGGAGTTGAGTTTTCCTATCGCCGGAGAAAGAAGACCATCAGAAACTGAAGGTAATCCCTTAGTTTTTCCTAGATCTAGGACACTAGGGGGAGTTTTTGGTTGAGTGAGGCTTGGTTTCGACTTTAGGGTCGGAAAAGGATTATTTTGGGGTAACTTAAGGGTCGTCGGTCGCCATGTACGTCGGCGGGGAGCTCCGACGAGCGATTGCTGGAGGCTGACGGCTTCCCCCCGGTGATAAAATTTAGAGAGAAGCGAGAGAGAAATATTTTCTCTCTTTTTAGAGAGAATGAAAATTAAGAAAATTAGAGGTTGGCTTATTTTTTGGGTATTTTTACCCATGTCAAAACGACTTAGTTTTAAAGGGGGATTTCTGTGTTTTGGGCGCGTGGGCAAATCTCTTCTCAGGTCCCCTAACTATGTAAAATTTCATTTTGGTCACTGAAATTAATTTCCATGTATTTTAATTTGGATCTCAAGTTTTATTTCGTTTTTATTTTAGCCACTACTTTTATTTACATGTGTTTTGGGTAAATATCTAATTTAGTCCTTAGATTTTAATATTTTTCATTTTAATGCCGAATTGCGATGATAGTTAAATTACATGTCCAGTACCCAACTTGTGTGATTTTTATGTTTATAGCCATAAATTTTTATTATTTTACAGTTTAATCCTCAAATTTAATATTTTTTATTCTAAATAATACTATTGGTTTATTTACGATTAAAGTGCCTAACATATGAAATATTTGCATTGGTTACCTTAATTTCTTGTTAGTTTTATAATTTAATCCCTAAATTTATCATATTTATTATTTTATGTTTGTCAAATTTTTGCTAATCAAAATACTTTCATATATTATTTTATACGAGGAATTTAAAGAAATGCCCTGTAACTAACAAGGAGTGTGTTTCTAATGATTTGCTCGAATAAAATAATATCTTTTATGTTTAAATAAATTTTCTATTTTATGTATTTGTTGTATCTAAAAATTCGGGTCATATTCTTTTGTACGTGGAATCCATAAAAAAACCCCTTAATTGACAAGGAATGTATTTTAGAAAATTATTCGTGCAAAATAATATCCCTTTTAATTTTCTAAAAGGGGTCACAATTTAAATGTATATTCAAGTTTGCCAATTTCAATATTTAGATGATGTATAATCGCTTAGGTATCGATTTCAGGCGTTGCGGGGTGTTAATCCTTTTTCACACGTAATCGACTCCCGAACCCTTTTCAAAACGAATCTCTGGTCAAACACAGATCAATTTTTTATCTTTTAAAATTATTTTTCTTAAAATTATTTTAAAATGTATTTTTAGGTATTCGACCTACATAATCCAAAAGTCGATGACGACTCCAAATTTATTTATTTATATATTTATTTTAAAACCCTACCTTTTCCAAGATTAAGTTGGACCGATCCCCACCATAACCCTAAAAAGTTGTAAGTACAATTCCGACACTATTATTATTCATCATCTTCTTTAACTTATAATTATTCATCTTCTTCACAAAATCATCAGTTTCGACTCTTCATTCATATTAAAATGGATGGCTTATCTATAACTGTCATAAGTTTATTTTCTCATCAAACAATATCGAACCATAACTCAAATGATTGAACCAAAAAAAATAATTTTACCAACATTACCAAATTGACTCGACTCCTGTATATATACATATATTTGCTTTCAAGAATGATAAAATCCCTCATATATTGAAAGCCCAAGTTCAATACATATGCATAATATAACATTAGGGTGAATAAAACTTGACTCAACTCAAAAAATCGAATTTTTTATTTAGAGTTATTCAAGTAAATTTGAATTATTGAGTTGAGATTTGTTAATTTCAAGTTACTCGAAAAGCCGAAAATTTGGCTAATAATTTTGACAATTTTATGATTTAGTCCTTAATTTCTTTATTCCTTCAATTCCTTCTTCATTTTAAGCTCATTTTTTTACTAAATTTGAATCACATGCTCCTATACCACTATAGAATATCTATGTAACTTTAATTCTTATTTTTTTACTAAAAATCTAGTCTTTTCTTTTAATTAGTCCATTAACTTTATATTTTACTCAATTTGATTTTTTGTCTGCAATTGTTTACAAATTCTTTTTTCTCATCAATTCCTTGACTCTTTTATACTCTTATCAATATTTTATCCTCAAAATATTTTCTTTAAAAATATAATATTGTAAATATATTTTATAATTTTAGATTGTATTTGATATATTAAATAACATTATAATGAGAAAATAATATGAATATATATATATATATTATGGTTAAAAAAAATCAAAAAATTGAAATCAATCCTTACCATAGTACTATAAATAATTATAATAAAATTTGTATAGAAACTCGAATAATTTGGCTCAAATAACTTGACTCAATTTTCTTAAACTCGATTTGACTTGAAAAAATTTAAAATAAGTTTAAGTCATAAAATATGATTTGTCAATTCGAATAACTTAAAATTTTGTGACTCGACTCGACCGAATGCTTACCCTTACATAATATCATAACATAATGATGATATAGCTATCGGCCGCCATGTTTTCCGATGACAATGAACTTATTAAAAGCAGATTTTCCTTTTCTGTCAAATCATTAGCTGTTAAGACGAGTTAGTGAATTTAATTTCATGTGGCCTTGGATTTTATTCCCAGCCTTAATACTGTACTATTTCAAAATGAGTGGATACTTTATTTGATTCATCAAAACACAAATTAATCAAGAAGATGCAATGTTTTATATGTTCGTTATAAAAAGGATAATGAATTTTTTTTTAAACTATCGGTATTTGATTTATCGAAATTTTTTATTTTATCGAAGTTTGGATAGAGAGATAAAGGGTTCGGGAACGTGAAAGAGTACCCAGGGGTAGCTGTGTTTGTGAGCACTTGTCTGAGTTTTCAATGTCAATGCTACCTTACCCTGAAATTTCAATTTATGAGCTCCATTGATTACCTTCACCAGCTGAGCTCACTTTGGCTAAGAGTTTGGTCCCGTAATCAGATCATCAATGTCCTCACCTGTTCGAGAATCTTTCGAATATCTTACGGACGGTCGATAATAATTCGATTGATTTATGATCTAATGAACCCTAATCTCATATTGTTTTTTGGATAATTAATCTCATATCTTTGATCCTATATAAATGCTCCAGTTTTGAAGGTTGAACGATATAATTGAGTCAAAATAAATGTGCACACCATACTTCAATCAATGCTAGGCTTCATAAAGATTACTGAAAGCAACACACCAACTTCCTTTATTACCAATGACAACTATTTTGATGAATCAACAACCATGTTTTATGTACTGGCAAAAAGAAGTTGTCGATTTTGAAATCTCGAAACCGGATTGATGGCATCAACCGGAAACGGAGAAGTCGTCGGTATTACCGTCGGAATGTTTTGACTTGAGGATTCATGCTACATTGAACATGTTCACCCTCTTCATATATGCAAGCTCGTTGACGGAGTAAAATCGTAGTATATGTTATGTGACAAATACAAGTTTGATTGAAGACACATATTACGATATTTTTTGTGGAATTTTGAAGGTAGTAAGAATTATGAGGTTGTCTTGCCAAATTAGTACTGTTTTGGGTAATGGAGGCAAATTTTGGTAAGTGTTGGTTAGGTTTAAAATGTTCTATTTTCGTCCACTCCTTAATAGAAAAAATATCTTCTAAATTAGGTGAAGTTAGAACATTTTAGAGTAATTTACATGTTTAGGACTTAAACTATTATATTTGTGTTGTTTTGGCATATGAAGACTGTTCAACTATGTATTTATTTATTTATACATGCATTGTATTTTATCTTTATTTTTAATTTTATGACTGCCGGAGGTCTTCCACGAAAGCTGCTCTCAATCTGGCGTTGGGGGTAGCCTACTACCCTACCTCCCCCTTACCCCATTGCATATGGGAATAGGATTTTGTTGTTGTTGTTGTATTTGTATTGTTTTGGTACCCAAACTTTATTTTTGTTCAAAACCATACCTAATGTTTAGTTTAAGTTTCAATTTGGTACTATGTCAGTAAAAAATTAACAGAACTGCTGAAATGACAATTTTTTTTATTTTTTCAGTTATGATATTACATTATTTTAAGATGTCACGTCAATATTATTGTTTAGTTTTAAACGGTCTAATACCAAAATGAAATATAAATTAAAAGTCGGGTATGCTTTTAAAAAACAAAGTTTGGATACCAAAATGGAACAAAAATAATAGTTCAAGTACTAAGCATTTAGTTTACCCAAAATTGTATTTAGTGATCTTGATTAAAAATATTAATTTTTAATAAGGTTAGAAAGTAGTTTTATTATTTTATTAATTAAAAATATTTATAATTTTTGGGACTACTAAAAAAATTACCCAGTGTAAGGGGGCAAGGGGAAATTTTACTATTTTTTGTACTAAACTTTTATAAATTTAAAGATTGAAATAACAATTTTACCAACTTTAGAGGGGCAAGGAAAATATCACTTTAATTTCATTTGGAAATGGTATTGAATAAATTAGGAAAATATATATATTTTTCACCATGATTAATAAAGTTATCAACAACTTTGGTAAACTCGTTGCTATTAGCTTCAATTTTTTTTTTTTTTGCATTTTGGTACCAAATAGTAAAGAAATGAAATTGAATGATTAAAATAAGATTTTTTTAAATCAACATTAAGTGAATTGTGGGTGTCTTTCTTAAATTTATCATTTCATTTTATTACAGTCATTTTTATAACTTTTCATTTTAGTTTCTATACTTAATTCTTTAATTTAATCCTAAAAATATAAAAGAAAAATTGAAGCCCATTGTACACGAATATAGGCTTGTGTATGCCATAGTCTATGTTCAAGTTGAAGGAATGGGTTGCTTGGGGTAATAGTTTCGATTGATCTTATATGGAAATGTTAAATAAAACAGTACTTATTGATTGATCAATACCTATGACAAAGTAATAATATTGATTTATTATTAGGATTAGGAGTTAGTATTCGATTCAGTCGAGTCAAATTAATTGGAATATTTTGAGAAAACGTAACTTGAGATGACCGTGTTAAAAGACTTGTAGGTTTAGAAGCCTCGAACTTACTGGTTGATTTCGCAGTTCTGTCGGGACTAGTCTTGAATTCATTCATCTGCATACGATTCCAGGCCAAGACAACAATTAAGAGGTAAACACAACACAGTTTGGTCTGAATCAATTGTGGTTTTTGAACCAAAATATTGAAACATACCCAACTGGGTGCAACGGCGGAAGAGTGATCGAGGCCAATGTGTGCCACGTGCTTAACGTCTGTCGGGTGCCCAATTTCCATCTCTCGCTCTTTCACAGCTACAATCACAAGTACCCCAGGGAAAAAAACACGTTCAAATACAACACCTTCATATTTATTAATGCATGCTCAAAGAAAGACAGAAAAGGGTCTCACCAAAGATTTGGGAAATGCATTTGAAACCTTTGTAGATGCCTTTGATCTTTCCGGCCATGGTGCCGGAGTCGGAATGGAACGGACTGTCGAAACAGTGAAGGGATGTTAAAGGTACCAATTTGGAGGGGAATTACATGTGACAAGTATAGGTGCAAGATTTAAGACAGACGCATTGATACAAGGTTCCATGCTTCATATTGCCCGGTAACTCGAGACAACATGCAATACAAGGGAACTTCTAATTAAACAGTGAGAAGGAAAATAAAAATACCCTTTCTTGAGAAACAAACAAGGGAATATAAAAGAGAAATAAAATCCTCAATAGTGAAGGGATGTTTAGACTGAATTAATAAAAAATTTAAATTCAGAGGTCGAAATAAAAATACCCATCTATTAGGGTGTTGCTATTTTGATTATCCAACTCTAAAATCCTCAATAGTGAAGGGATGTTTAGACTGAATTAATAAAAATTTTAAATTCAGAGGTCAGAATTTGTTTATTTATTTAGGATTAAGATAAAATTGATAGAATGCGTAAGTAATAAAGAATAATTTTGTTATTATACAAACTTAAAAATTATAACGTCAATAATTTCGTTCACTAGTTAATGGATCAGTGACTTGATTGATTACTTTTCTTATTGTTAGTCCCTTAATTGGAAAAATTAATTGAATAATACCCTAATAGTTGAGTTATATTCTTTTATATTTTAAAATCATGACTAAATCGATAAATTGATAAATTGAATAGAGATATCTTAATTTGTATAATACGGTTCATTTTTTTATTAGTATGAGGTGAATACAAGATAATGTATGTTGAAAGATTTAACCATTTGATAATGAATGTTCATACACATTTGCAAAGGATACTGCCGTACCAAAGTTAAGATCAATAAGAAGGTGAAGAGGAAGAGTAGAACATGCTGCATGCACTGTAACACTGAGTAAAGAATAAGCATAAGATACTAACATACCAAAGTTGAGTAAATTATTATTTTAATCCATAGCAAGAAAATATTAGATTCCTTTACAAGCTTAATCGGAATCCAATCATCCGAATTAGTGTAACTTTACCAACCAAATGCAATACAAATTTTAAAATTACATGGTAGTTCTAATTTAGATAAGTTTTGTTGAAATTAATTCCAAGTTTCTTTGGTCTTCAAATATATTAATGAGAAATAACCATGCATGATGATCTCTATATTTCGAAGGAGGTCACCTTCGTCTTCGATAATCGTCGTAGAGATTTCGTGGAAGAAGACTCGGCAATGCAAGTGCTCTTCTTTCTCCTTTTTCGTTTCATCGTAACACTCGGAAGATCGGTGCAAGACCGGATTCTCTTCATCTCTGTTGCTGGTTCAGACTCCATTGATTGATCAATACCATGAGAGGACCGTGTTGAAAGAGTTGTAGGATGAGAAACCCTGGTCTTGCCGGTAAATGATTTTGTTGTTTCGCCGAGACCAGTCTTGAATTCATTCATCTGTATTGAATTCCAGGCAAAGTTTAACAATTAAAAACACGGTTTGATCTACACAAATTGTCTTTTTTTAATCAAAATATTAAACATACCCAACTGGGACTCTGGGAGCAGTGGTGGAAGAGTGATCACAACCAATGTGTGCCACATGTTTAACATCTGTGGGGTTCTCAATTTCCATCTCTCGCTCCTTTGCAGCTACAACCAAAAGTAACCCAGAAAATCCATGTTCAAATACAATAGATTCATATTGATTGTATGCCTGAAGAGAGACAAAAAGGAGCATTACCACAGATGTGGGAAATGGACTTGAAACCTTTGTAGAAGCCTTTGATCTTGCAAGACATGATGTTGTTTGCAATCACTTTTGATGAGTGATCGACAAAGCTTGCGAACAGAGGATTCTTTCTTGAGAAAACAAACAAGGGAAGAGACAAGAGAAGGAAAGTTGAAGGTTGATGAAGAGAGGGGTTGTAGGGAGGGAGGATATAAGAAGGAAGAGAGAAGGGTTAATTTTGATTAAGAAGCCACAAGATCTGTGAACAATTATTTGTTGTCGGATATGTAGACTGGTTTTTTCGTTTTGATCTAGTGATGTTCGGAGCTCGGGTACTCTGCAAGAAAATGACAACTTTCTTCAAAACACAATCTTCTTTTTCATCTTCATCTATCAAAACCATTACTATACTCATCCAATTAATATCCGAAAAAGAAATAAGAACTTGCTTTCTTCCCTGAAACCAATAAAAGACCATACTCAAGGAGTGTCAGTCCAAATGTTTGATGCATGGTAAGATTCTCTTGATAGCACCCTAATGACCCTTGTGTGGTCGATGTATGAACCGAGTATGTCTCGTAAAGCACCCACAATACTATGATATGATATAGTTGCAAACCAACTCTCCTTCATCCTTTGAGAGACGTGGGGAGAAAACCATGGGAGTTGAAACTGAATTTTCTCCTTGCATATCAAACCCTCTCAAGCACTCAACTGGAATCCTTCACCAATTCCTAAGAAATATTTGGAGTTCACCCAAATCTTTAAGAGAGAATTGGGAATCATACTTTCGAAAGTTTAGATATAAAATGAATAATACCACCAAACAAACAACTAGATGGGGAATGAAATCATAACCACCAAGGTTTATATAAAAATAACCTAAACCAGTTTGCTGACACATATTCTGGTTCCATGCAATATTGCACCCTACATGGAGCATTAGGCATAAGAAGAAAAAAAGGCCTTCAAAGTTAGTATGCGGTCATTTGGAAGAATAGACATCACAAAAGAGAAGTTTACCTCTCCAAATGTGGCAATTGATAATCAAATGTCTCGCATTTCACGTGCAATTGAGATGACAAGACCATGTACTTTTGGCAAACTTAGCCATAAACAACTCCTAAGAAGAGGCAGGGCAGGTAGACTGAGTCAAAGGCATAATTAAACCGAGCCGTCAAAGCATGATCCAGGGGATCATGTAACCCATCCAAAAGCCTCCAATATTAAACCCAGATTCAGTAGCAATGTCAAACAGTCAAAGGGCTAAAGTCTACGCATAGTTATGAAGTAAACGAACCTACCAATATGATTAACCTTTTCAAACCTAAACTATGTCTCTAATAGCCCACATGACTACTTCGCAGCTTAAAATATGAAATCCTACAGAAAAACAAAGTAAACAGATGGTATTAAGATTATTGGTGCACAAAAGACATAGAAAATAGATAATTAAGGGCAGAAAATATAATCATCGATAAAGATTATACCTGATGCGCATAAGATTTCTTGCATAAACTGAATGAACTGACATCATAAGGCTAATTGTAATGATCAAAGCTAAACCCGTAAAACAAAGAATCTCAGAGAAAATTAGAAACCACGTGCATCACAAAAATAACAGAGATAACTCGACCGAGCAATATGATGAACATCAGAAAATCTTATAGAAAATGTAATTTTTTGCATGCAAAGATGTGAGCATATAACAAAATAAAATTCTATAAGCAAAACCTTTCGCAAAGAGTTATACGTTTAAACATCTAAAATTGATATCAAATTCTCAACTAAATTCTCCAAATATCGAAACCATAGTTCGAATTATAGCAGCCTACGAAACGAAAAAGACAATGCCTTTTTTTTTGGATAATTTAAAATTTTATTACCTAAGAATAACAGAAAACTGCTTCAAAACCAATACAGTCAAAAGAGCAAACGAAAGGGTTTCTAATTACAACAAAAATCATATTATACCCCAGTAATTACAAAGAGATAGGTTAGTTCTATCTAATCTATTAACATTCCTATTACTAAGTTGAGTTCCTACAATCTGCTTGATTAAGACCATAATCTCGTCCTCGGATCTGTAGGTTCCTTTAAAAAGTCTTTGATTCCTTTCTTCCCATATGGTATAGTTGAGAGTGCACCAAGAGAGCTTGAGGATACTAGTAAGCAACGATTTTCCTTTCCATGTGTTATATGCCCAAACTAGCATATTAGTCCAAATAAAAAGAGGTTTATGTATACATGTGAGTTGAAGAATTGAATTTCAGATTGAAGCAGTTGTCTTACATTCAGCAAATAGATGGTCTCTGGATTCCCTTGCTTCAAAACAGAGGATGCACTGGTCATTAGTTTCAATTTCAAATCGTTGCAGCCTATCCTTTGTAGTAAGGTGATCCAAGATAACCATCCAAGAAATTAAGCTGGGAATGTGAAATGAAAACCAAATCAGATTATGCCATGGGAATTTACTGTTTTTCTGTCGAACCTCTTCCCAAATCTGTTTGGTAGACGCTGCTCCGGAAGCAAGAAGAGGTCGAGCTGTTGTTCGAAGTTTCATGATTATCCACGAATCCAATATCCAGTCTTCCAATTGTCCAAGAAAACCACTTTCTGCACCGCCCAAAAGGAAACAATAATCGCAAAAAGCATCGCCCCTCGCTTGGTTTTCGAGTTCTTAACATAAACAAGCAAATGGGTGACGAAAGCAAGCAACAATCCCACAATTGTATACAGAGAACCGACGGTGAACCCTTCCGCTCCGAGCTGCATCCCCGATCCTTGGTAAAAGAAAATCAATGTGTTCGGGTTGTTCCTATCCAGCAGAAACATCGGCATTTTCCTGATTATATTATGCATTGCAACTGAAACACTGAAAAAATAAACAAAAACGGCGCCGGAAAGCCAAATCTTGGGATCGTGTAAGAACGTTTCGCCGGAGAAGATCTTTTTAGCGACGAACGGAGCAGAGATCAACAAAAGGACAAGGATGAGACCCAATTGCGTTTTCGAGAGAATGGGAGGACGATGGAGGGGACCCACGGTTAGTTTAGTTCTCGACTGGACGAACTCGGTCATGGACTCAGACAATCGAGAGAAATCGCCCTGGTCCATATGCTCGGAGTCATCCTTCAACGATTTGGCGTTGGGGCCGACGAGGCGGATGTGGGGGAGGGAGTTGACGCCGAAGAGGTGGAAAGAGGATTGGGATTCGCGGAACTCGATGTCGGCGAAGAAGAGTTTGGTGTTGGAGTTGTTGTGGTTGGTCAACAAGGGCGAACTCACGGCGGAGTTCGGGGAGATGGAGTTCGGATTTGTCGTTTAGTTGGGTGGCGTCGAAGAAGATGAAGAGGTAGTATGGGCGAGGGGTTTAGGTGGAAGTTAGGAATTTGGAGATGGTTCGGTCGTCTAAGTGGATGACTCCCGATTTGGATTCGGACTGAAGGGCCAGGAGATCTAACTGGTAATACAATCTGAAATCGCCATTTTCTGGTTCAAGAACTTGATTCAAATCCATGATCTTAATCTGTTCCTATCTAATTGAATAGGTTGCTAGTTTCAAACCAAGCAAAGATACAGATTCAGTTGGTTTAGTATGAAACTGAAGCTAATCGGAGGTGACTCCACCGGTGTTATAACAGCTTACTCTGTATGCCTTTTTTCCTTAACAATTTTTACAGACATTAACATGAGATATTTCGATTGTACTTTGATTTAGTTTGGTGATGCAAGATGCGTTCTGAGAATGGGACAGAACCAGAACGAGATGACCTGGATTTTGAGTTCTTCGGAAATCAAATTGGATAAACGTGCTACAAAAATGGCGTCGGAGGCTTACATTAGAAATAGGATGATGTATTTACCATGGGAACTAATTGATCGAATTCCAAACTAAGAATCTTCAATTCTGATAACATAAACATTATTGAAAGAGCCTGATTCAGATTTTGGTACGAGTCAAATACTTGGGTGTTTGAAGAACATAGGAACAGAACAGGAAAGGTAAACCCAGAAAAAAAGTTTAATCCTTTAATGTTCGCTTCTATAAGAAACTAATGGAAATAGATAAGATTCTATCAGAAGCTTAAAACTTCTGGAAAATATGCAAAAGATTGAATTGAATTAACATCACGGAACACAACACAAGCATACATAAGAGGAACAAAAGAGAAGATTAATCGAAGACGATGCAACAAAATTTAGATAAATATATAATTTTTATTCACTTGAAACCATAAGACGGATATAATTGAAGATGACATAAGTTTATTTATAAGGCTTCATCAGAGCCAGGCATCATAATCATCGACATAAAATCCAGAAACCCAAATTCATAGGGAGCTTAGAAACCGCCACGAAGACGCAAGACAAGGTGAAGAGTAGATTCCTTCTGGATATTGTAATCAGCCAAAGTCCTTCCATCTTCCAATTGTTTCCCAGCGAAAATCAACCTCTGCTGATCTGGGGGAATCCCTTCCTTGTCCTGAATCTTCGCCTTCACGTTATCTATCGTATCAGAACTCTCCACCTCCAGAGTAATGGTTTTCCCAGTCAAAGTCTTGACGAAGATCTGCATCCCGCCACGAAGCCTCAAGACCAAATGAAGGGTCGACTCCTTTTGGATGTTGTAGTCAGCCAAGGTACGGCCGTCCTCGAGCTGTTTTCCAGCGAAGATGAGACGTTGCTGGTCCGGTGGGATTCCTTCCTTGTCTTGGATCTTGGCCTTGACGTTGTCGATGGTGTCGGAGCTCTCGACTTCCAAGGTGATTGTTTTGCCGGTCAGGGTTTTCACGAAGATTTGCATGCCTCCACGAAGACGGAGGACAAGGTGGAGGGTCGACTCCTTCTGGATATTATAGTCCGCCAAGGTACGGCCGTCCTCGAGTTGCTTCCCGGCGAAGATTAGCCTCTGCTGGTCTGGTGGGATCCCTTCCTTGTCTTGGATCTTGGCCTTGACGTTGTCGATGGTGTCGGAGCTCTCGACTTCCAAGGTGATGGTTTTACCGGTAAGGGTTTTCACGAAGATTTGCATGCCTCCACGAAGACGGAGGACGAGGTGGAGGGTTGACTCCTTCTGGATGTTGTAATCGGCCAAGGTACGACCGTCCTCGAGCTGTTTTCCGGCGAAGATGAGACGCTGTTGGTCCGGAGGAATCCCTTCCTTGTCTTGGATCTTCGCCTTGACATTATCAATGGTGTCGGAGCTCTCGACCTCGAGGGTGATTGTCTTGCCGGTCAGGGTCTTAACGAAGATCTGCATCTTGTTTGGCTGAAGAGAAAATCAACGAGAAAATATGATAATTTATGGGTGAGAAAACAAGGGGGTTGAGGTATTAATTTAAAGGAAAACTCCTGATCTCTTAAACCAATAAAATATTGACACGATAGATAAGGTGAAATATCGACGACCAATAGCCGTAGGATTAGGAATCGGGTAATGACGATTGACAGAGTAAAGCGACTCGGTGCCGTTAGTCTTTCCGTTTTAACGGTGTTTGGTGAACGTCGCTATTTGACGGAAACCGTCTCATTGGAATTAAATGGCCCCTAGTTGTCAACTTGTCAGCCGTCGTCGCCCACAGGATTGATTTTTTGGTATAAAGATTCAATAATTAAAAATTATTAATTTAGTAATTTAAGTTAGTAAGTAGATAAAAATTTATTTATCACTTAATGAATATTCTTATAATAAATTTATTTTACTTCTATTAACTTTATAATATTACTTGAATTTTACATTTATCAATTATTTAAATTACATTTATTGTTAAATCATATGACAAAATATACAATAAAATGAGATAAAAATATCACATGTAAATAGTTTTTTTATCTGACACATAATCAATTTTTATCACCCAAGATAAATATGAGCCCATCTTTTAAAATTTTAATTTTAAATATTATATTTATTTATTAAATGTATTAAACATTATTTTTCTTAAATATTTTTAGAATATTTTAAAAATAATATTTATTATTGAAGAATTATCCATACAAAACAAATTTTGATTACTATTAAATAATATTGTTTCGTTTAATTTTAATGTAATTTTTAAATGATATTATTCTATTTTTTTATCGGAAGTTATTAATGAAATTATTGGTTGGTGAGAGTGGGTGGTGGATTGTTGAGCACCACAACTTTGTTTCCAAGAAACCGAATATTATATATTTTACGAAATATTTTATAAAATTTAAATTTTGAAAAATACTTTACAAAAATTTAAGTCTTAATTTTTTTTATCGATTTATATGTTTTTTAAAAAAATATTCTTTTTAATTTAAGATAATTATAAATAATAATATGTGTTCTAAATATTCTAAATATAATTAAGATAGTTGTAATTGTGATTGTATAAGAAGCATAATGAATAAATTTTGAAATTTGTCATGAATATAATATGTTTTTTTAAATGATTAGAAATCTTTCATAATATATATATATATATATATATATATATATATTTTGCTAATGATTTGTATTGATTATATAGGCTAAATTTTTTGAATAATGCAGTGTAAATAAAAATTACTCGAATAATATCGAACAAAAATTATTCGTTGAAATAGAGCGATTACTATAGTATCATAAAAGATGTATGAACTATCATGCGACATCAGAGTGTTTCTATGTATGATCCATGATAAATGCATAGATTTCTATTTTGTTTTGGTTTTGGTTTTGGTTTTTTTAACTTATGGACACTATAAGTTGTTCGAATCATACCATGTTACCTTAATCAAGTTGCTCAAACCATACCCTGATAAAGTTGCTCGAATTATGCCCTACTATCAAGTTTCTCGAACCATACCCTGTTACCAACTTATAACATGGTTCGAGAAACTTGGTAGCAAATTGCTCGAATCATGCCCTGCTACCAAGTTTCTCGAACCATGTTACAAGATGGTAGTAGGACATGATTCGAACAACTTTATCAGAGTAGTATGACATGATTTGAGCAACTTGATTAGGATAATAATGTATGATTCGAATAACTTGGAGTGTCCATAAGTTAAAAAAAAAACACCAAACTTTGGTAATGCAGGGAAATAAGATTTGAGGGAGAGTGTTATAATCAAACATGATTTGTTTATGTCGGCAAAGCTTGGATTAAACGTGACAAAAAAACCCATAAAACAAATGGCAGGAGACTTAAATGAAGCAAAGAAACGTGAAGCATTAATTTAGGTGACAGTAATAGACTAGTGATTTGGCAACAGTTATCAGTACTTGTAAGAATGGAGATAAAAGGTGAAAGCTTAGTAAAGCTTTATTTTGTGGGTGTTTGTAAACTAGTTGAAGTTGGTATCTTGTTCGTGTTTATACTCGTATGTTTGATATCAATAATATTATACATATTATAAAATTGATCGAGTGTTCATCAACGTTTCCAACAAAATCCAATAATAAAAATTTATATAAAGAGTATCAGTTAAAAAAGTAATATTAAATTTTTTTTAGCAGCACGAAATTATAAAAAAATATGAAATTAGATAATTAATAAAAAAATAAAATGTAAAACAACTAAAATTTTTGAAAGATGCGACTATACTTCTTCGCACCTCTCATCCATCCCTGTCTAACCCTAGAGGCCAGTTTGTAAAGCTTAATCCATGAAAGCAGTTGATGTTAGAAAGGAAGATTTAAGAGCATCGATCAACAACAGTATTTCTCTAATCTGAACCATGTTTACATGATAAGAGTAGTAATTGGATTGTAAAAATTAATTAAAATACAATTAATTTAAGAAATGACTTTTTTATTGATATGATGCTATATTAATCATCAAATTATTAAATATAATAATATTACGTCAATAATTCATTTTAGTCAGTAGAAAAACGTCAATAATTTATTAATTTACGATTCTTATAAAAAAATATTTTGATATAAAATGAAAGGTTAAAATACTCTCTTTAGTGGGAAAATAAAAGAAAAAATACATTTTAGAAATTATTACAAAAACAATGATGTCGGGTTCCAACTGTCTGGGTGGTGTAGTTGGTTATCACGCTACACTAGAGGTGCCCGGTTCGAACCCGGGCTCTGGCATATTTCAATTTGTTCTGTTCTGTGTCTTAAGAATAAATATCTTAAGTTCTTAATATCCATAACCTTTTTTTTTTTGGGGAAGAAAATGCTTGCGTGTCCTTGTTCAGCCTTCAACCTCCGGCCACCGCGACGCCGACCAAGCCCGATGTTTCCGACTCAGAACCCTATCCCAAAGTTCGGAAACTTAAGGGTAGCCCACAGCTCAACAGATGGTACCGTGCACGAGCCTTAAGGTCGGGGCAGAAACTTGAACGACAGAGCAACCGGACTTTGGCGCTTGAGGTGAACCCCTCGGCTCAACGAACGAGTGGGACCTTATCTTTTGAACCCACTTCAACGACATATGACGGCGATCGTGAGGTGGAGGAAACGGCTTCCGGGAAGCCAATTTATATCGTATCCGATGGAACTGGATGGACGGCCGAGAACTCCGTTAACGCAGCGTTGGGGCAGTTCGAGCATTGCTTGGTGGACCGTGGGTGTCCTGTAAATACCCATCTATTCTCTGGGGTATATATATATTTTTTTAATTTACTATTAGTAATTAGTGATGAAACTTGCATTCTTTTAATGTTTGGAAAGTTGGGAAATTAGTGTCATTTATATTAATTCAACTATAACTTGATCTGCAAAGTTCAGATTGATGATGCTGAGCCAATGATGGAGATTATAAAGCCGGCAGCCAAAGAAGATGCATTGATTGTTTATACTTTAGCTGATCCTTCCATGGCAGAGTCTGCCAAGAAAGCTTGCAAATTGTGGGGTATACCGTCCACAGATGTTTTGGGGCCAATTACGGAGGCCATTGCTGCTCATTTGGGTGTCTCACCTTCTGGTCTTCCCCGAGGAGCTCCAGGACGAACCTTCCCTCTTTCGGATGAATACTTCCTGCGGATTGAAGCTGTTGAATTTACGATCAAGCAGGATGATGGGGCTCTACCTCAAAACTTATGCAAGGCTGACATTGTTCTCACAGGTGTTTCTCGTACGGGGAAGACACCATTATCAATTTATCTAGCTCAGAAAAGATATAAAATAGCAAATGTGCCTATTGTGAAGGGAGTAGCATTGCCAAAGGGACTTTTCGAAGTAGAGCCTGAGAAGGTTTTTCGTTTGACTATTAATCCCTCGGTCTTGCAAACTATTAGAAGAGCAAGAGCTAGGAGTCTTGGTTTCGGTGACGAAACAAGGAGTAACTATTCGGAGATGGATTATGTGAAAGAGGAATTGTAGTTTGCTCGCAGGGTTTTTGCTCAAAATCCTACCTGGCCAGTTATCGGTAAAGATGATTAATTTGTTTTTTTTAGTTCTCCCAACTGTTTGATTCTTTGACATGGAGATATTTTTATAGACCATTAGTAACTTAAAGAGGATTAAAAAAATGGTAAAATTTGATATTAGAAAGTTCAAGATGTTCAACATGTTTATCTGATGAATCTTGGGCTCACCTACTGTTACTTGTCCGTGCAGAAGTCACTGGTAAAGCGATTGAAGAAACTGCTGCTGTTATATTGAGGCTCTACCACGATCGCAAGCATAAGTGTTCAATGCCATGAATATCAAAACGTTACTAATGAAGAAATGAAATGGCAAGTTGTCTGTTTTTAAGGTATGCAGGAGTAGGAGTTTGCTGCTTCATAATTACTGAGAATTACTTCATAGCTCAGTTTTTGAATTCCAGGGGAGAGAAAATGAAATATAGCTAAGATGTATATGTTTGTACTTTCATTCTTTAGAGTACCAGCGCTTCACTGGTTACGAACTTTACTAATTACTTACTAGTGTATATTGATGCAATACAGCCATATAATATACTTTATGCTGTTTGTATGAACACAGTTTTCTTTTGTGTCAATTGAACATAAAAAGATTCTTTATAAAGTGACAGCTCTCTATTTGTTACAGGCGGTCTATATTGTCAAATTGTATAATCTGAAACATTGATTTTGTTGAGGAAATTAGTGCCAGAACCATTGAGTGGTTGATCTGCTTGTATATGGTTTTATCCAAGATCGAAGAACAAATCCGTATTTTTTAGGTGGCCTTGAATTCCTTAAGAGGTTTTCATTTGGCTATGACTACAATGTTTTGAGTTTCAGTTTGCTGAAAGGTCATTATGAAGCCGTTTTAGTCCTATTCCTATATGTGACAAGTTTATCAGTGAATTTGTTATGTGCCGTTTCATGATACATTAACTTTCCTTACGTAGTTATGCTGTGTGTTGTGAAGAAGTGGCCTAGGGTGGCTGCTTCAAACATTTTCTCAGCCTAAAAGACCAGTGGAAAAGAATTTTAATATGCTAAGAGGCCATCTCAGTAGTGGTCTTCAACTTTTTTTGTAAGGGGAAGAGGGAGGAGTTGCACGGAATTGAACATGAGATCTGATGTCAAACAGGACTAAAATGATGCCCCTTAATAGTACATCACAGGTTTAGTCGACTCAATCTTGGTCATCGTTGATTATAGAATTGATGCTTATCATTGCGGCGTAGTGTTACTTTGGCCAAGCAAACATGCAGTCCTAGGGCACTCCTAGCCTATGTTATTCAAATTCATGTGTGTGTTGGATACGGGTTTATGCCTAACACGAGTATGATAATATTTTTCTTTTGAAAGTTCCATCATGCATATGGAAGATCCTTTTCATCACGTATCCATGTGTCGGATACAAATGTTGAACACAAATCCTTCAAGCAAAAGGAAAAATCGGAGCAGCATAGCTCCTCACATGCACTGTCACCGCTCTCCTCCCGGGTCCCCTGGGCGGGTTGTGACACTTGGATGTACCAAAACTGCTTGAAAACTTTTCTAAAAACGAATACTTATATCCCCTGCAAATGGAAAGATCAATTTCTCGGATCAGGTGTGGCCTTATAGAACTGAAAGAATTAAACAATGTATCATGTATGTTGCAGCTTTTCTCGACTGAAATTTCCAGTATTGGCTTGCTCATGGTCATAGCATACATATTGCTCATCACTCTGTTTTATTCATTGCCTGCCGCATGATGCATTTCCTCTTTTGCTAAATTCTACTGACATGTTTTCTTAAAGCACCATGATGAGGCATGAATGTATATCAATACGAAGAAGATACTATCTTTTCCACTTCAACCGACCCATCAGTGCGAGTGCTAGGCCTGTGGGAACCAGCCTAGGAGCCTTTGGAAAAGAACCGCCACATAGGTAGCCCTTCTTTATTTCTCAAAAGCCCAAACTTTGGTCCAAAATGGTAAGCAGCTTGAGAATGCGCATGATGTTATGCAAATTGTCACGGGGCTAGACTTCAGCTAGTCGGTCCGTGCGGCACTTAGACGATTTCCAGGTCGAAATAGCGCCTAAGTCAGCCTTATCCACGTCCTTGTGAGTCTCTGGCTCACTAAGCGACGAACAAACCCTCAAGGGTTAAACAACAATGCGGAAACGACACTTAATCAAGGCTAATCCAAGCCACTTGGGTTGAAGCGGATCTCAGAAGCACGAGCACTGTGGGAACTTCCTAAGTCACCAAGACTTGATTAACTTTGGCATTTTGAAAGAACTCGTAAAAGAACACTCTCGAGGTTATCTCAGCCCTCACGATCGGTAACACAAGCCACAAAGGCTTAAGCACAAAGGAGAACAAGCCGACAAGGCTAGAAAGCTAGCAAGCTAGAAAGCTAGAAAGAATGAACTCAGAGAGAGTAAGAGTAAATGCCTTAGTTTTATTACTCTGAAGAGAATGAATGAAGTGAATTGATTACAAATGAGGGGAGAAGCTCTCTATTTATAGTTGAGACCCTCAAGATCCAACGGTCTAGATCAAAGTACATCGACAGCTTACATTGAATCCTACCTTAACCAGAACTCTATCTCTAAGGTATTTGAATTCAAATAAAACATTATCCATAATTAAATCCTTAATTATTGGATAATAATATCCTTTATAGAATCTTCCAAGGAACGAGCCAGGTCTGATGGTTCTGGGCAAGCCCAATACTCTGTATTATTCTTCTACAGAAATCTGCGCACACATGTCTCGGACCGAATCCACGAGCCTCGACAAAATTGTCCTCATCGAACATGTAACACCCTCGTCGCTTCTCTCGGACGCCTCGGACTTGATCCTTCACGAACTCGAGCCTTTACGGACTCGTAAGCATTCTCCAATAACCAGGCCAACTCGCCATGCCCAACAAGTCCAAAGTTTGCGCAATAGAACCCCTTCTGTGAACCTTTGCGCCAATGTCCATGGACCCAAAAGTTTAGTCCGTGACAAAATATACAAATACTTTAGTGCCTGCGCATCTCATGCTCATGGCCATCATCTCCCCATTGCTCTCGATCACATGAAAGCCACAAAAAAACCACAAGCACTTGGAAAGTTGGATTGTCAGAAAAAGTAAAGGATCAAAGGGTAACTTTCTGATCCTCCATGTCAACTTTTGAAACTTTGAAGATAAACAAGAAAAGAACAAAAAAGTAGGATATCGTGTTATGTTCCATCACTTCCATACATGGTACATACATATGTATTCGTGTAATTTAAAAGGGAAGATTCCTTCTCTTTGTCTTAGTGGAGTAAGTCCTTGTCTTCATCCCCAAAATTCCTTAAGAAACCATCTTAATGGCAGGTTGATTAGCTTTTGTCATCCCATGGCCCAATTCGTTTTTTTTCTTCGCTGCCGGGTATCAAAAGCAGACATTTGTTTAATAAATCAACCACTTGCATCCATTTCTATTGATCCTGCATTGAACTCCCACGCCTATAGTGTACTGCAACATATTTTAATCAGCATTGTGTTGGTGATTCATTCTTTTCCAGGTACTAATCTAAACCACTCTCGTCTCCATTAGTTTTGTTCATCGACAAGGTGAAGTATATCAGCAAAATAGTGCCTATGCTCGACCTGTCAAAGAACGGAAAAGTATCACTTCGATATATCGAATCAAACTTGCTGAAAATTGTTTATGTATTTGCAGGTGAGATACCATAAATAGCTTTGCAAGCTTACAATGTGGCAAATAACATGAGTACCCTCTTGGGATCAAGCAGCCATGGCGTAGGAGGCCGCCTGCAACTATTTCTCTTCAGACTAAATCTGCTTTCAGTTGCTGCGGCGATACTGCCGGTTGTAATGGTGATCTGATGATGAACTTGTTGGTTGGTGGCAGGATCGGTGGTCCCGGCGACCACCACGGTTTCAGGCATACAAGACCCTACCAGGGTAGTTGAATTACCAATAATTCAGTGCTCAATGTTGGAAACAAAATCAATGCAAACCAACGGGTGTTTTACACTGAAATTCAAACAGTCCATGCAAAAAGATCGCATCCAAGACAAGTGCATCAACAAAAAAGACAATACTCGTCAACAATCTGTACTCTGTACTAAACTAATTAAGCACCTTGAAGTACATGGTAAATTCAACCTTTTTTTCCTGGAATTTTCTGCTGGTAAAATTGGCTGTGCAAGTCTGGAGAAAAAAGTTTGTACCTTTGGGCGAAGAGCTGGGACCGGGAGCAGTAGTCTTCTTGTTATCTCGTTGAGACCCTTTTCGTGAAAGGTTTCTCTGCAAAATTTTCTTGTCAACCAAACAGAAAAAAAGGATATTTGTGATAATATTGGAATTTTCAAACATGAATGAAACTGGATTTTTTTAGATGTAAACACGTGTCATTACAAAATACATCATGTTTCGAATTATCCTAGAAAAGAAAGGAAACTTACTGTAATTCTTGGATTGGGGTTGATTTCTTTATTGAATCCTCCATGAGAGAGACTTTCCATATCGATAACAAAGCTATCGGATTTATCAGTAGTTGTGTATTGGAATCCATTAGTATGACCCGAAACTGAAATCTTTTGAGTTGATGACATCTCCTCTTCCGACATACTATCCTCGTCTGAAGATGTCAAATCCTATGAACAATCCGACCAGACACGGTCAGAGGGAGAAGAAGACAAAAACAGAACAGCGGTTACTTTGAAATCAAGATCAAAACTGAAGGAACCAATTAAACAGTTTTTTGAACAGAGATACTATACTCACCAACTTTTGATTTTCCTTCATGTCCATCAACTTGTGAGGGGAAGATTAACGGAAAACAAAAGAAGATAGAAAACCAATAAAGGAAGACCCTGAAGGAAGAAGTGATTATACCAACAGCGTATTCAGCGAGTCAGGCAGTCTCAATCAAACCACTTGGTTGGTTACAAAGAAAGAGATTTTCTAACACCAAAACTACTCTTAAAATCAAAGAAATCTCATGATTTACAAACAAGACTTTTTGAAAAATATAACAATAAGAAAACACCATTCAGAGGAAGAGATAACAGTTGCAGAAGAAAGACAACTCCTTTTGTTTGTCAACCGGATATCCATTCCTAAATATATACATGATTTTCATCTCACAATATGATTTTTTTAAGAATTTATATTAAAATTAAAATCATGCAGAGTTGTAAAATTATGAATAAGATATTAAATTATTAATAAAAAATATTATTATAATTTTTTTAAGATGTGATTACTGACAATCCTTGAATATCCTATCGGTGCTTTTATCCCATGTAATGAAAGCGCCACGTTTGCTACCAAGTTTCAATCCCATGCTTAAAAATTTAGTTCATATTAGTATCTATAATTAAATTGAAATAAAAATAATAATTTTAATTGTAAAATTATTATTTTTTATTATTTACTTAAATTATATATCCTAAACTTCAAAATTTTAAGATACCATTAACAAGTCTGGTTTAATTCATTGTTGACAATAGAGATTTCTTAAAATATTACTTTAAAATTAAGACAAATTTCTCATAAGATGAAATGGCCGATGAATGTTGGTTTAAATTACTTCACTGTAAATTCGCCATGTTTGATGAGAAATTTTTATTTAGAATGGAAAAGAAAGACAATGAAGGCAAGTTTTGAGAGAAAATATTATCATATTTTTTATTTTATTGAAATTTTGTAGAATAGAGAAAGAAAATAGTCATGAAATAGAAGCAAATAAAGATGATTCTTCATCATAGATCACATTTCATGTTAGGTATGATCTTTAAAATTACAAAAATTTATTAATATGAAATTAACTCATCAATAAAATATAAAAAATAATATTTAATTTATACAAATATTTTTCAATCTATCCGTTATCATAAAGTTGATGGATGTTTTATAATGGATGTATAAGAAGAAAACATCATCTATGAAAATGGAGTCATTGACAGAAAGGAAGCCTACTGATTAAATAATCAATGGTATTATTCCTTTCTTAGCCATGCAGACTGCTTTAACATTCCCTAGTCTTGTCTTGTCTTCCCCGCCACCTTTACACCACATAAACACCCTTCACACCAACACAATCTACCCCGGTTCCGAAACCTTGTCTATTTTCTAAGAACACAATGTCCAGTTCCGACAGGTTGCCGATCCGACGCACCGGTCAGGACTCCCAACCCATGAAACGCCAGCACACTGCTCGATACTACGCCGAACGGGTTCGTGAAAGCTGCACAGCTATGGTCACCAAAACAGTGTGCGCCATCTTTTTATGTGTCGTTTTAGTTGTCGGCATTGTTTTCTTCATCTTATGGATTAGTTTACGCCCTCATCGTCCGAGATTCCATATGGTGGAGTTCACCGTCCCTGGTTTGACTCAACCCACAGGCTTTGAGAATGCTGAAATAACGTTCAATGTCACCGTCAGGAACTCCAACCAACACATCGGAATCTATTACGACACCATGGTCGGCTCGGTTTTTTACAGAGATCAACGGATTGGGTCAGCTCCATTGATGGACCCGTTCTTCCAGGAACCGAAGACGACTACGGTCGTGGACCGTACGTTCGGTGCGGCTACGCTTACGGTGAACAGCAAGCGATGGGAGGAGTTTATGAACGATAGGCAGAAAGGGATGGTGGTTTTCCGGTTAGATATAACGTCAGTCATTGGATTTAAGGTTTCTACATGGAGGAGTAAACATCATAGGATGCATGTCAATTGTGATGTTGCAGTTGGTCGAGATGGAACGATCTTGCCGGCTTGGAAGAACAAGAGATGTCCCGTTTATTTCAGTTGATTACTGCATGTGTGTGTGTCAATATATATATATATATATGTGTGTGGTGTAGTTCAATCATTCTTGTTTGATTTGATTAATCTGTACGGCAGTACCATTGTGTCTTATGATACACAATTTTAAACCTTTCAAGCTTTTAATCAGGATGTGAATGAAGTAAAACCTTGTTGATTAAGATCTAGATTTAGGAAATGATATTTAACCTGAATTTGATGAATTTTGATTTAATTAGATTATATTTTTAAAGAATTTAAATTTAGATCGTATCAAATTTTATTAAAGGAATGGGGTCGCATTGAGTTTAAGTTTAAGCTGAAAAAAAACTTCGATCAAACCCAACTTAACTCAAGATAATACTATAATTATCCATTATATATTTAAGAATAATTACATTAATATATTTTTATATTATTTTTAACTAAATATTTATTTTACCTAATAAAGATAAAAATTATATATATGGATTATTAGGTCGGATATATTTTTTTACCTAAAAAATTGAGTCAATTTCGAGTTAGATGAGATTTCTTCAAATCTGAATCGAGTCAAATACTCAAATATGGATGAAAAAGTTTAATTTTTTAGTCAAGTCGAGATGGACTAATCACCCATAAGTCATGTCCATTTATAGCTTACAAAATCAGAGATATTAATGGAATTAAGACTGAATTGTTCAATCTAAATTTATTTTTAAGAAATAAAGCTTCAAGGGGTAAACTCCCATGCATCAATTAGTCCTATAAACCTTACAGGTCACATAAAGCAAAGTAACTCACTAAAAGAAAAGAATACAGTTCGTATCTTCTCAACTTTCCATCTTAAACTTGAATCCTAAGGCGAATGAAACTCTTAAGCTTTAACTTTATTCTCACTCAAACCACTATTTCCCTAGACCTCGACATAAACCAAATTCCATTACCATTCAATTCCTGTGGAAACCTCTGTTTTGTTTTCCATTCTTAAACAATAATGTGCGAAACCAACAGCGTTACCTTTTGGCTTCTTCAGATTCTTGGCCTCATAGGTCTTCTTGCTCTTTGTCTATGGCTAGCGTTGCGTCCCAGAAGTCCCAATTATACGATCGTGAACTTTTCCATCCCTTCGGTAAACGATAGTAATGCATCCGATCATGGGATCATCCAATATGAGCTTGATATTGATAATCCGAATAAAAACTCAGGTATTTACTACGATGATATCTTCCTAATCTTTTATCATGGGGTGGATACGGTGGGGAAAAAACACTATCCCATCATTTTATCAAAGGAAGAATCGGAATTTCCGAGTGCTCAACCATGTCGATGTTGACACCCCCTTTGGACAGGTCTCCGCAGCGCTATACTGAATGCCACAGCTGAATTAAGAGTCGATTTATCAACTAATATCAGATACAAAACATGGGGCATAAAGAGCAAGCACCATGGATCACACAGGGAAGGAAATATACCGATAGGTAAAGATGGCAAGATATCCAACAACAAGAAGAAAGTTAAACTTCGACATGCATCGAAAAGGTTGAAACTAAGGGCAAAAAATTACAAAGCTTAATGAGGTTACAACCTTCATCGAGACAACACCAAAAATAGAACCCAAACAAACCTTTTCATATCATAGATGAACATAATCAATCTTTCCACCAAAATCCGACTTAAACTTGCAAAATCCTTTAGCCACATGAGGGAATAAAGCAGTTGACATTAGCAAAACCGAATCTAAGAAATTGAAGTTGTGGTCATGGTCAAGGAGCAATCATACAGTTAGCATTCTATCTCCCTCTCTCCAAATTAATTTCAAAGAAGGAAAATATAGTAAATTTTATCAGGGAGACAAGTACCATATATAACTGTATGAACTAAGCTGTTAATAAACCTCAGGATTTCCCCTTCTCTGAACTCCGTCTCTGAATAGCAATTTGTCTTCGCCAAACATGAATAGGAACCTGCAAAGTGATAACTTGAATATGTTTAGGCCTCTTTTTGTGTCAGCCTTGGAAGAAAGTAAATTGACTGATGAGTGTTTAATCTACAGTTCCACCCTGATAACAGATCAGAGTTATTGAGAATGTAAAGTATCCTTACAGCATGGAAGCCACCATAGTCTCCAGCCTCTCTGATGTCCTTAGTGACACAGCTACTCTGACCTGCAACGGCAAACTTCAGTTAAAAAAAATACACTTCTCGAAATTATTCATAACTTTGCCTCCTCTACTATGCCGATGGAAAATAACCAAATCAACAAGGGAAAAACATACAATAAGCAAGACATTTGAGCAAGTAGACAGTCTGAAGTACACGAATGGGTTCCATTTCTTGACAACCATTTTGCCAATATGAAGATACATTTCTAAACGTGCAAATGAATCGTCATACTGATCATTTAATTGTCATTATATAAAAAAATAGAAGGCCCCTCAACAACTTTATGCAATAATTATTTTTTTCTTCTTAACATCAAGTAAATACCTTTGATACAATAGAGACATGATCACGAACTGCTGCTCGCCCCCTAGAACTACGTAGTCTCCTATCCTGTGGTAGGAGATAAATCAAATATGATCAGAACTCTCAGAAGAAGTTGAAAATTTCATCATGTTCACATACATAACATGAATACACTCAACTACAAGAGAAACTTGAAGGGAAACTGGAAACAAGAAGGAAAAACTTAAGGATAACAATATCATACGTCACTGAACTTGCTATGCCGACCTGTCCACAAAGCATGCAACTTTTCCCAATAACTACATTATGTCCAATCTGCAAAGGCCATCATTTGGTAAGATTATACCAAGAGCATTCCTATCAACATGGGCAGACAGGAAAAAAAATACCCACTTGAACTAAGTTATCTATCTTTGAGTGATCTCCGATTAATGTGTCTCTCCAACTGCAGAATCAAATAGGTGATAGACTTTCGTAAAACATTTGACTTCTCAGAAATGCAGAAACTAGTCAGGAGGGGAAAACATTCATAGTCAAATAGATAACTAGCCTGCCCCGATTAATGCATGTGTTAGCTCCAATATCCACATGGTTCCCTATCCTAAATTTAGCATCTGAGGAAAAACAGAGGGAAAAAAATAGTAAACCAAAATACATTCTCAACAAATCTGAATAAAGTATCTGAAATCCACTTTTGATAATTTCCATAGGCTAACAAGCATCAATTCTTTTCCTTTTCCTTTATTCTTTTCTATATCAATAAGAATGAATTCAATAACATAAGGTACAAGTAATTAAATGTAAAAACAAATCATGGCATTCCATTCATCCGTTGATCGCGTGTAAATGTATAGTGTCATGGCACATAAATCTGTGCAAGTATACATAATCGATGCAAGTAATATAGTAGTGAGTAAGTATCTTCTGCACAGAGATTAGAGGGCTTTTAAAAGATTGCTACAGCTAGGAATATGTGTCGCTAACTAGTCCTAAGTATATAAGTCTAATTATATAAACAAGGGAAAAAATATGCAGTGGCAAATGGTATGAACAGATGGAAAAAGTTTGTCGAGACAAGAAAAGTGTGAAGTGAGTAAACAGATAAATTTTGTCGTGGCAAGAAAAATATGCGATAGTAAATAAACAAAAGTTGTTAAGGCTAAAATTGTCAAAACTCTGGAAATAGACTGACAACCTCACACAATTAGACTTCTAACGGAGCACTTGGGTTAGATTTGCTATGATGAGAAATTATTCTATGTCTAGGATGATCTAGTATGATATGTCTATGCTGCCCGACAGGATTTACTAAAGTATTCTAGGACTTTTGCTATGGCAATACTACTCGGCGTGAACTACAACCTTTGGTTTGTCAAACTGTTGATACGACAATACCCCTCAACATAAACTGTAGCTTTTCGCCTATCTTACTCAAATATTTACCATTTTTAGTCGAATAAAACCCTTTCCTTATCTCTAAGGCAGATTAGAACCTCTCCATCCCAGATTAATTCCCTTGTTCACGTAGATCTAACCTAACTCTCTCGATATTAGGTATCAACTCCTAGAAAAATAGCAATCTCTCAAAAGCTCTTACAAAGACTAGGAATGTTTTGCCGTGGCACCAGACAATCTCTCAAAAGCTCTTACAGTGTCAATGTAAAATATTAAAACAGTGAATAAAACAACACTTAGCATAAACAAACTTAATCATTCTTTAACAATTGAATAAAGTATCATCAAATCATCATCCAACACCAAATAAAATAATTCATGGTGTGGTAAAAATCATCCCAAAAATCAATCTTTAAGTATAAGCCCTTAAAAGATAAGAAAGTGAAGAACAAGATGAAGAAAAACTCACAGAACAGAGCTTTGCTATGACATCAAACCACCACCATGACTGCTCCAGCGGCTAGCCTCTATTGAGGGCTTAGCCGCTGCTCCGTCGAAGATTGGATATGGAGGGCACTAAGGATACACGAGTGGGGAACGATGGAAAAAAAGACGTCGTGACCGCCTTTTTTCAAGCCTAGGGTATTTTCTATATATGATTCTGAACACTTTATGAATAGTTATAATGGGTATTTATAGTGGGAATTTCTAGGGTTTAGTGCCCTTAAAAATTCTCTAAATACTCTTGAAGTTAAACCTTTTTTTGTGAATAACATAGCAGCTGGTAGTGGTCAAATTCCTTGATGAAGGCATGATTGCACGTGAGGTGAATAGGCCACCTGACCAAGTGGTGTCAGCAGTTCCGTCAGACTTGCAAGATAAAACTCGTCTTGGCAAGAAAATTTGTTTCTTACTGTCATCGTCTTCTGTTCCATTGGCCTTAGTAAATTAATTTGTCTCGGCAAATGAATTTTTCCTTAGTCATTTATTGCATCATCACAACCAACAAACAACCTTTCTCCTCAGCAGCATCAATTTAGCCAAATAAACTTTGCCTCGGTAAAACTTATCCACCACATGCAAATATGTCCTAAATACAACTAAATGCAGCTAAAATGCTAATTTAATGGCTTTTAAACACTAAATAACTTGAGTAAAAAACATAAAATATATTCTTCTTACGGAGTTATCACACTCCCAAACTTAAGCTATTGTTTGTCCTCAAGCAATGGATAATGAGTAATAGAAAAATGAAATTCTATGACAAAGTCTAAATCAGAAAGTCAAGTGGTTTAAAATTTTAGCCCTCAACAACAATTTTGGCCTCAACATAATAAACTAACTGAGAAGTAAAATACATTTCCTTAGACTAGAATCCTTTGTTAGCGTGTGTTCGTGATTGTATCTAGTCTATACGTAACGAATTTAGAAAACTCCTAAGTAAGTTCTTTTGTTTTGCCAAGGCATAAAATTATTCAATAAGCACATCGTCACTCATGTTTATTCAACATTTAATTTCAGAGATTTTTTTAACATTGCCTTTTTTTAACAACTGCTACGAGGGGAGTCAGCCCATCACACTTACCATCCCACACTCTAGGTGAAAGGGAGCATACTTTACACCCCCGAGCTAGTCAGGTAGAGTAATCCCGTGACTATTTTCATTCACTCGTGTGCTAAGGCTACCATTTATTCAAGGGGGTTTCTAGGTAATGCTGTGGCACAGAGAAGCATCCCTCTATAGTTATTTCAATGCATTTATTCACAAGTCACCATAATTCAAAACATTAAGGAGTTTAACTTAGTCTTTCAAGCATTGATATGGCAGTTTAGTACATTACCAGAATTTTATGTCACGACGCGCAAAAGTTCTTTCATAAAAATTTTCTAAGTTCTTTAAGCATAGAAAACATACAATCGTGTTCAAAGAGTCATAAAGAATCAATTCCTAGGGTTGGTTCTATCCTCCTCAACAGTCATATACAATAATTTCCAGCCATGACAATTTTTTTATCATCAGTGGCATCATCAACTTATTCCTTGTAACTAACCTGATCCCAACTAATGCTATAACAAAAAAAATCTACTAAACATTATCAATGAAAATGACTAAGTATGAGCAATACCTCCCCTAAACCTGAGGGATACTGTAACACCTCCAACCCGTACCCGACCCGGATACGAATCTGAGGTGTCACATTAACTATTCAAAACTTTTTAAAACTTATAAAAATCATGAAAATTCAAACTTTCATTGAAATAAAATTAATAATTTACATAACTATATTCAACACATTACAAAAACCGATCAGAGCATATGTAAATCACAATTTGTCTACATGCCAACACCTTTGATACAACAAAATACATTATGTGTAATTTACTTCTGATCTGATCTTCGAGTGAAGTTATGTTGTTCTGCTGAACTTAGATCTGATCCTCATGCTTCTCAGTACCTACGTATAAAACGCTTACACGCTAAGTCATAGACTTAGTGAGGCATAAAAATATAATAATGCATTTCCTATAAATATGAACATGCAATCTAATTATTCAAACACAATCATAATTATCATATCATTATTCAATCACATCACATATGATTCAGTGTAACCAATAATAACATGATAACATAAAATAATGTAAACACTTTTTATATCTTTTATAGGCCCATGCACATTACTGAGAACATAAGGTATGCGAGTACATTGA